AGCAGTCATGGGAGAGTGGACCATATTGGAGCGTCTCTTGGAGGCGGCAGTGCAGCAGCACTCGACGATGATCGGAAGGTAAGAGTTTAGTTCAAGTCATCAACCCCCGTGTCTGAACACATGCGTCGGTTAAAAAAAAAGAGTTTTTATGTCTTAGTGATTAATATAACGTTAACATCTATAAAAACGTCGGGTGGAGAGGTAGTTGAAATAAATGACAAATGAAAGTTCGCATCTACGGGTTCCCTCCCCCACATCTGCAAGTACTACAAAGTGACAAGTGACGCTATTTCAGTAGTGGACAGCATCCTTAACATTGTCATGAACAGACAAGAGAGCTCGCCATTGATAAGGAGTCTGATTTCTTTTCATCTCAGCAGCGCCAGCCCAAATAGTAATAAGTTCTGTTCTATAAATAGCCTTTGTTGTCCAATGGAGTTTTTCATCAAACCGACACTATAGGACTCGCAGTCGATGTCTGATTTTTTAGTCAAACGGTACATTTTCAAATTCACGGGCCACAATAACTATATTCAAATATTCAGAATATAATTTTGTTTCGTGTCGATATTCTGATGCAGTCTTGGATACAGACAAATGTAATTACCAATGCTTTTTAATTTAAAAAGCTCTGGCATAAACCTTACATTGGGTCATGATTTTATATCATTTGTTAAACATGGTATCATAATTTACCACGATATGTAATTTTTTTTTCTTCCCAAATGACTATTTGGGTCCCCCTGGAACCAACAAATTAATATTGATACAGTGTGCAGTATATAAAATGTTTACAAACTCCTTTTTTTTGGTCATATATATTTTAAAAAAAAATGAGACCAAGATTTCAAAAAAAAAATACTTTTTCCACCATTAATATGTACAATTCAAGTGAATAGGTTTTCATTTTTAGGAGAGGGGAAGTCAAAAATAAACACTCCAAATTATGTGAAAATGCGGTTGCGGAAAGATGCACACCATCTTCTGGGTGCGCATCATTTTCCAACTTCTTCCGCTATTCATGTGAACTGCACATCGAAAATGGAAATCATATCTAGACGGAAACTAAAACGAAACAACTGAGCACCTAAAGTATCGTGATTGCAAAAGTGTGCACACCTTCCTGTGTGGATGTGGCCAGTCGCATTCGGAGTCGGAGGGAACGAAACAACTTGTGGAGCAAGTGGCACAGTGCTCAGGGGGCACTTCCAACGAAGAGTGCAACCATGCTTACTTGCATGCTGTCGTTCATGTTACTCTTTGATGGGCTGCTATTGATAAGCAACACATGCTCAGATAGGTCAACACCCAGTGCAAAACAAAACAAAAAAATCAGGGATGTGAAAACATATGTGATAAAAGGCATTCAAGGACTCATCAAAAGGCAGGTGGCAACCCTTGGTTTTATTTCAATATTACTGTTCAGCCATACAGAAGAAGCAAGGTTGAATAGTTATTTGGGGATTGTAATTTAATTTTGATTATTACACTATACTTATTCTGACCCTTTATTTTTTTTTTTTGCAATCGTAAAAATACTCCATATAATTTAAAAAACTAATACTAAAACTAATACAAACAAAAGTAGAATAAAGCATTCAAAAAAAGCTCGAAATCTGTTCTAAAAACGAATAAAGCTAACTGAATGTAAAAAAAAAAAAAAAACCATCAAAGTCAAAGGAAAATAAAAACGAATTAAAAATCCCAAACTATTACAACCCTTGTTCTATCTGAAGAAAAAACAGCCCCAAAGCACGATGTTGCCACAGCCATGCACCATCCTTTTGACAAGGAAAGCCCATGAGAACAGCTGAACTTTATTTGGGAAGAAACAGGAGCACTTTTAAAGGTGCGCTGACTCCAATTTCATTTGGCAACAAAAACCTGTCATTCGAACAGGCAAACGTCAATTTCTTTTTTTCATCCACTCTCAATACAAACACACCATTTAAAGTATTAAAATGTATGGATAGAAATGTAGAGTGTGACCCCCAAAAAAAAGTCAATTATACAATATGTGTTGAATGACTATCTTTGTCTCCTCAGGATCCTGCTGACCGTGGTGGTGATTTTTCGCATTCTGATCGTGGCAATAGTTGGAGAGACAGTGTACAACGACGAGCAGTCCATGTTTGTATGTAACACCTTACAGCCAGGCTGTAACCAGGCTTGTTACGACAAAGCCTTCCCCATCTCTCACATCAGGTACTGGGTGTTCCAGATCATTATGGTCTGCTGCCCCAGCCTTTGCTTTATCACCTACTCTGTCCACCAGTCTGCCAAGCAGAAGGAGCGACGCTACTCCACAGTTTACCTCTCACTGGACAAGGAGCAGGACACGAAAAGAGACGACAGCAAGAAGATCAAGAACGCGATTGTTAATGGCGTGCTACAGAACACAGAGAACACCAGCAAGGAGGCAGAACCTGATTGCCTTGAGGTCAAGGACGCCCCCAGTTCAGTCATGCGTACGACTAAGTCCAAAATGAGAAGACAGGAAGGCATATCCAGGTTCTACATCATTCAGGTGGTGTTCAGAAACGCACTGGAGATCGGATTTCTTGTGGGTCAATATTTCCTTTATGGATTCAACGTCCCTGCCGTGTATGAGTGCGATCGATACCCTTGCATCAAAGACGTCGAGTGTTATGTTTCCAGGCCAACCGAGAAGACGGTGTTTTTGGTCTTCATGTTTGCAGTCAGTGGCATTTGTGTGGTGCTCAACTTAGCAGAGCTCAACCATCTCGGGTGGCGGAAGATCAAAGCTGCCGTTAGAGGAGTGCGAGCCAGGAGGAAGTCTATTTATGAAATCCGCAACAAAGACTTGCCAAGGATGAGTATGCCCAATTTTGGACGCACTCAATCCAGTGACTCTGCATATGTATAAATATGTGTAACACAGAAAAAAAAAAAAACACTGCAGGACAGCTGTGTAGAAACTAGAGTAACTTATATAATAAGCTGAAACAAATTACCAAAAAAAAAAACAAAAAAAAAAAAAACATACTTTAAGATGACAATTGATGGCATTATTCCCATGCCAACATGTTTCCCACACTTTCATATGACTTTTGTCTTGGACTGTACTGTGCCACGAGATGGCGGACATATCTCATCAATATTTGTCATAGTTGGACGTACGCATGTAAAAATGTCCTTTTTTTTTTCTTCTTCTTCTTCTTTGGGAACGAAATGGACATGAATGGCTTGAGCGGAATGATGAAGCTCTGCCGGTGATGGTTCCATATTTGTGAAGTGCATCTTAAAAATATATTTATAAACAAAACACAGTAAGGACAGACATTATACAGTATACATATTAGATGATGAATAGTTAGATTTAAAGGAAGTAATATTATATATATATATATCACACACACTTCTTTGCTCTGGACACCTTGGCTTGCACCACAGGCCTTATCTGGAGGTCTCCCTCCATTTTTTTAATGACACCTAAGCGCCATATTTATTTATTTATTTATTTATTTATTTATTTATTTATTTATTTATCAAGTGCCATACATGTACAGTATATTGTAAACACAGCATATTGGTATAACTTCTATCATACAATACACAATGTACAGTATATACGTATTCAGAAATGTCGATGACACATTTTGTGGTCAACCCACAAAATATTTTTTCAAAGGAGTCTGAATTAAAAACGGTCGCTTGGGTTTCCTCCAAGTACTTTGTTTTTCTCCCACGTTCCCCAAAAATATGCATGTTGGGGTTAAAACTAAAAAACTAAAGTGTCCAAGCGTTGGAATGATTGTATGAAGGATTGTTTGATGATGTGTTTGTGTGTTTACATTTGAAAATGGAAGAAAAATAATGATGTCGTGGGTTTTGATCATGGGTCAAAATTGTGTATTTTCAACGTATGTAATAAAAATGAGCCCTATGAACGATTAAAATGTGTTTGATTTTGGCATCATCTGACGAGATTGATTTGCAATTCAATGCTTTTGCCCGATTTCTATATTTTAATCACCTAAAATCTAATATCACCGCGATTTCATTTCTCAAACCTGCTTTTAATTTTCGCCTGAATTCTGAGTTGACAGACCCTTGACTCAAAAACTGGGCTCACTCAGGTTGAGAACAGCTCATCGGAACTAATTCAATCATGTCTGAGTACGCCACAAGAGTGAGAGCCAAAACTCTCCTCTGTCTTGAGCAACACTTTCTCTTGCGTTGAATTTATCATCGTGATAAATGGTGGTGGGTGAGCTCCGCTTGGACTTCCAAAAGGTCCTGGACGGTGCGGGGGTGTCCTGGTCGAGATGGGACAGTGCCTCTGAATTTGCAGACCAGGGTGGTAGTCCCCCTTTTAAAGTCATCAATATTTCCATCCATCCATTTTCTTCCGCTTCGGGTCACGGTGGCAGCAGCTTTAGCAGGGAAGCCCAGACTTCCCTCTCCCCAGCCACTTCTTCCAGCTCTTCCCGGGGGATCCCGAGGCGTTCCCATGCCAGCTGGGAGACATAGTCTCTCCAGCGTGTCCTGGGTCATCCCCTGGGCCTCCTGCCGGTGGGATATGCCCAGAACACCTCACCACGGAGGCATCCAGGAGGCATTCTCATCAGATGCCCAAGCCACCTCATCTGGCTCCTCTCGACGTGAAGGAGAAGCGGCTCGACTTGGAGCCCCTCCCGGATGACCGAGCTTCTCACCTTATTATAAGGGAGAGCCCAGACACCCTGCTGAGGAAACTCATTTCGGCTGCATGTATCCACGATCTCGTTCTTTCAGTAACAACCCATCGCTCATGACCATAGGTGAGGGTTGGAACGTAGATCGACCGGTAAATCGAGAGCCTCACCTTTTGGCTCAGCTCGTTTTTAGCCATGACAGACCGATAGCAAGTCTGCATCACAATTGACGCTGCAGTGATCCACCGTCAATCTCCCGCGCCCTCCTACCCTCACTCGTGAACGAGACCCCAAGATACTTAAAATCCTCCACTTGGGGCAAGACCTCATCTCCCAATATTCGTTTTGCTTATTTGAAAGTTAAGGATATTTTTTTCTTAACATGAAAGTGATTTGTCCCAATTATTAAATTATTCATAAATAAATAATGTTATAACATTATTACTGTTTTTATTGACCAAAATCTTTTTGCATTTTCGTCAACTAAAACTGGACGAAAACTACAGAAATGACTAAAATGTGACTGAGACTATTTTCTTTCAAAAGACTAAAACTAAGACTACAACTAAAATGGCTGCCATAAACAACATGCTTGGGTTTTACCCTTTCAGGGACGGCGGTTACTACAGTGGACATCTTATCCGGTTACAGGGTGAAAGAAAGGGTTAAATTCCTCACTGAAATGTCTGGCGAACTGCCAATCACAAAAATCCACGACTGAACAGAACACTGCTAAATATTGACGACATTTAGCTCGGACACTGAATTACACGTGATCTACACACAATGAGGTCTGAACTATTTGACATTAGTGTATTTCACGGGTCCATTAATCAAGCTCCCTTAATCCAGATTAAATATCCAGATGTTATGGCACAGAAGACTACAAGTGGATCGCAAAAAGAAGGTTGGTATTGGATCTATATGATTCTGACATGACGCGCCAGATGTCTGATTTGACAAGATTTTGCGTCACGAATCCGAATGTCAAGTGTTGGTTGAAACTGTTTCAAAGAGGGAAAGGCAAATTACAATCGTGGCTTCATTGTGAAAATCAGAAAGCCATCTGAATTAACTCTCAATTTAACTCAACTAAACTTGTAATCCCTTTTACGAGTACCAGTCAAGAGGCGAGCAGCAGCATTCTGGCCCAACTGGAGACGCTTCATGGAGGATTGAGTGACTCCAAAGTAAAGTGCATTACAGTAATCCAGACGGGATGTAACGAAGGCATGAATGAGTGTTTCAAAGTGCTCTTGAGAAAGGAGAGGCTTGACTTTCGCCAGCTGCCTAAGATGAAAGAAGCTGGATTTAACAACGGCACCAATTTAACTGTTTCAAATCTTGTCGAGTTGCTTCTCTCTTTGGCTACATTAGGACCACGCTCACATTTGACGTGACTGCATTCATAATAATCAATTGTCACATACCTACCTCATGTTTCTGTCTGCTTGGTAATAATTTATTTGGGAATGGAACGATTTTACATCTATTTCATTCAATTTTCTGGTTGAGACTAAATGTTCCACTTTCCAGTGCCTTTATAAATCAAATTTATTATGATGACTAAAGAAAAACAACACAACAACATTTATCAACACAAGACCACCCTAGAGTAGAAATTATGCTTCAACATACTCAGCGACAATAAAAACGTTCTCATTTATATCTCTTTTCCAATCATTCTGCTAAAATAACTGACCATCAAGTTCCCCATCCTGCGCTGAGCTCGATTTCGCCAGTCAAGCAACATTGTCCGTGAAGGCTTCACACCCCACCTATAAATGTGATTTTGCTGACGATGTTGCAAGGAGCAGTGGCCCCTTATAAGTGTCTCAGGGTCAAACAATAAAACGTTATCACTTCACTGCTAATCTCAGCAAATGTCTCTTTCCTCCGAACGGTAGGAAAAAGTATTTAGTTACAGTAACGGTATTGATGAAGCACCTGGGATAAAGTTAATAATAGTGAAAAGATTTTACATTGTATCCACTGACAAAGTCATTTGATGCACAAACAGATGAGGACAAGATTGATGTCGCGATCCATCAGAGGATAAATGGGTGGGTTCCCCTGCAACACATTCCACGCCAATGTGTCCCTGTGAACGTCCCTGACTGATGGTCCTGGAAAAGTCAGGGTCCTGCATAATCAGGTCCGGTTGGGTCTTAAGTGCTAGAGCAAGTATTTGGCTGTGTTCACAGAGGTGTCATGTTGGCTCATATGGTCACAGTTCGAAAACGAACTGAAAAACGATCAGATCTCACGAACGTAGACACCAAACAAAAAGCGCAACAAAAATATTCATTCACAAAAAAGCCCACCGACAAAGTATGAACAGAAATCGATGGTTAACAATAACGGACATTAACACAAAACACTTGCAACAGGCAAGGAAATAATTAGCCTGAGAATACCAAATGAAATGACAAGAGTCCAGTTTACTCGACAAAAGAAAAGTAAGATCAAATAACTAAACAAAGACTATACTTTCAAAAACGTGGAACTAAGAGAACAAGAACGACGATGACGAGAGCGAGAGATCTAGAATACAAACACTTGAGCAAGAGCAGCAACAAGGTCCAATAATCTGACCATCTTAAATACATGGCTAATGATCATGGGCAGCAGGTGAGCACACTGAAGGAAAGGCCCACCTCTGCCACCTGCTGGACACACAAAAACAGGATCATGACATATATGACTGAGTGTCTCGATCTGACTATGATCCTGATTTAATATCTACACTATCTGCTTTGAGTCATGATATGACTGCTCAGCTTTGCTATTTGGACAAGCCTGGATACAATCGATTGTCTGAGATGCATATCTATTCTACTTCGAGTCTTGTTGGTGTGTGTTTTCAGCCCAAACCGTTTTAATTTGACCTGTTTGATACTGATCTTCATCAGATCTAGTATATATATTTCCTCATGTGATAAAAGATACGGTACAATCGAATAACAACAAACCACATGCGATCGTCCACTTGCTGTAGACTGTAAATTTCCCCAGTGTGGGACATATAAGGATATCTTATCTTGTCTTATCTTATCTTACTTCTTGCAGTGTCGTAGACGCTCGTGTTTGGAAATAGTGCGATTTGCTTCAGTAGATTGAATGTGTTTTTCAGGGCCTCAGTTTAGGTGAGGGTATAAATATACAGTGCGAGAATTATTTTTTTTAATTTATTGATTTATTGATTTATTATTTACATATGCAGTCAAACCTCGGTTTTCGAACATCTCGGTTCTCAA